CCCTCCCTGGAAGTGTTCAAGGCCAGGTTGGATGAGGCTTTGAGCAACCTGGTCTAGTGGAAGATGTCCCTGTTCATGGCAGGGGGCTTGGAACTAGATGATCTTTAAGGCCCCTTCCAACCCAAACCATTCTGTGATTCCATGACAATGAGACACAGAAAAACACATTGTATGTGTCGTATATATGTAGATATTCTTGCTGTTTCCTTTTCCCAGTTCCACATTTCCACTTAAATTGTTATCTCTTTCTCTTGTTTAAAGCTCTTCCACAGAAGAGAATCCATCTCTGGATGGATCATAAAGCAACCATCACCCACCAGAACAGCACGTCCCCTTCTGCCTTGCTTATTTGTAAATTGCTTTTGTTGTTTTGTACCTTAATTAGGCCCAGTTCTTCTCAAATGGCCTTGTTTTGGTACAGCTGAATAATCCTACTGATACCAAGCAGGAATAGTATTTGATGATGAATGGCACTTTTAGAATGCAGTGTGTACAGGAAGGAGTGCTTAATGTCTTATTTATCACGTGCTGCTAAAAGGAAAATTCCTGTAGACTTTGGTGGTCTTTTTGGACCAGTTCTTCTTTGTGGCCAGGAACTAAGCATGTCTTTGTCTGCAAGCAATCATGTGTAGTTACAGAGCTAACAGTTCTCTAGCCTGGAGGAGCATTGATATTTCTAGTAGTATCACAGGGCAAAGGAAAGGACAATGCCCTGTCCCTGCGCAACAGAAGCACCTGGGCAGCTTTGTGAGACTGAGCTGTCTTTCTGAAATCTTCCACTGGACATGGAACTTGAAAGCAGGACAACACATATCACAATAACTTCCTGTCCCATGCTGAGGACTAGGCTGGGGTAAGGATGCTGAGAGGCTGAGCCCTGATACCCTCACCAGACCTGCTCTATCACCCAGTGGATCCCTGTTGGCCAGATCACTGCAGGCAGGTGAGGAAGGGCTGACCACCTCTGCTCCTTGGGCCTGCTGCTGCTTCTCTTAGGATTTTTATATCTTGCCCTTGCAGCACCTTTTTTGAATGTCTGATGATTTCCCTCCTTTGTTTTAAACTGCTGATAATTGCTATCAGCGCATCAGTCCCCTTGCCATGTGCTTTCTTCAGCTTTGCTTTTGCATCTTGCACAGCTTAGCAGCCATCACAGTGTCTTGCATACAGACCAGCTGATGGGACACCTGCAGTTCACTGCTAAGCTGCTTTCAGCAGAGCTGACCCATTGACTGACAGCTCACAAATTCAGTCCCTGCCTCAAGAATATGGCCTCAGAGAAAATGAAAGGAGGTCAGGGGTATGCCCTCACCTTTGATGGAGGGGGAGAGAAAGGAAAGAGGTGTCACACTCAGGTGGGTGCGCAGACTCTGGAGACACTACTTCTGAGGACAACTGCCTGTTTCTGCACCGTCGCTGAACTGTCACGTGCAACCATAGCCTGGGAAGGGTAGTACTGCCTGGATCAAGAAGACTACATTGAGAAACATGGGTCCCAGCTCATAGTCCAGGGGCATACTCACAGCTCTCTGCTACAAAATGCTGAGGAATAAAGGAGGATCCTTCCTCCCAGACGTCATGGTGGGGCCACAGGAGTGAATAGAGCAGAGAGCAGGGCCACATCTGCTGCACAGAGCAGTGAAGTCCCTCCTAATTTCTTGAATGCTCAGGTAAGGCAGGTTTTTAGCTGCTCCATAGCAAGTAAGCAGGTTGCCAGAAGTGGCATTTTGGTGGTTGGTCCATGGCTTAAGCTGGTACTTGGATGTATATGTGCTCACACTATGAACTGATGCACCAGTCTCAAGTGAACTGGTGATACAGGAGATGGAGAAGCCTCTGATATGTTTATGTTTAAAAATCAGATCTAGTCTCAATTGTGTGGCCAGAGTGTCTGGAAATGCATTTTCCTTTGTCTTGGACTCCTCTGATGCAGTACAATTTGCCGCAAACTTTCAGGCAGAATACAGGAGTCTTTAGGTAATCTAACAAGACAGGCGCAAGGAGACTTCTGCAGAGCAATTGTAGGAGCATTATTGTAAAGCAAAGGGAAGGTTATGGTGAGGTTTACGTCTTGCAACAAGACTCAAGAAGCAGCTTGTCACTCTAGTTCATAGGTCTCTAAGTGATTTGTCACCAAATTACCTAAAGGATGAATTATCTTTCACCTTGTATTTCACTCACATAACAACAGACCAAATATCAGTGATGACTGTTTACTTCAGAGGCTTAAAGTAAGGGGCATTTTCTTCTGCTGTTAGGGTTTCAAGATGCTGAGGCAAATCTCCTCTCATTGTTGAAGGAAAAGGGTTGGCTCTCAGTGGTACAGGAGGAGGGAAGGCTGCATGTGTAAGGATCAAGCGAGAAGAACAGGGCCTGGAGCTATGGTGTGATAGTTTCACTGGGCTAGCCCTTGGCTAGTAGCCAACACAGCCATTCACCCACTCCCCCCGCACCCCCAGGGGATAGGGGAGAGGACTGGGGAGGCAAGGAAAAGGAGGCTTGTAGGTTGAGATAAGAACAGTTTAATAATAGAGAGAAAACTTAAAATAATACTAATATTAAAATAGTAGAGATAATAATAACAGTAACAAAATATGCAAGTGAATGACACCCAATGTTATAGCTCAGCCCCCTCCTGACCGAGCCCGGCCTGTTCCCAGATAACGATCCCGGAGGAGCGACAATCCCGAACCGAAACCACAATCCCGGAAGAACAAGAGCCCGAGCGACAGCCAGAGAGAGCTAAAAGAGGAAGAGACCCTCACTAATATACTGGGCATGACACGATATGATATGAAATATCCCACTGGAATATCTAAATGTCAATTAAGTTTATTAATTTAAATATTCTTCTCCCCCCTTAAATCTTGTGCTTGTGGACTAAC